GCCAGGAGGCCTCGGGCTCCACGGGTGCCCCTGGCGTGGGCTCACCCCTGGTTTCTGTGCAGTGTTAGACAAACCGACCGGGTCACGCCATCGACATTTGCTTCCACGAGGTAGCCGCATACTGCCCCTTTGAGATCACAGGCATCCATGGTTTGCAGTTCGGTTGCAAATCTTTGTCTTTAACTCTAGTACTGTTTTTAGTTCATGATTATGGACAACTGGTGCCACTTTTTTGTTTTTTTTTTCAAATTTCGGTGTGACACAGGAATCCGCTGTTGAAGATGAACCTAGAATGTCTTTAAGCACTTAAAATGCTGTTCACACTTTATTGCTGAGCATCCTGGTCTAACACTCAGTACGTACTGTATCTCACTTTAATCTGCTCGGAAAAGCAACAGCAGCAAACAAACAAACAAATCTCTTCAATACTGTAACTACATGCAACTATGTAAAGTTTTCTCACAGGCAAGATGCTGAAAGTTTTAATGTGGTTTCAAAGGGATGAATGTGAATTATTGAACTAGTATGTGACAGTCATTGTCCACAAAGGACTACTTAATAGGAGGCACTTTTTAAACTTTAATGCTTGAGAAAGAGTTAAAGGCATATGCGAGCTGACAGATAATTAAAAAAAATAAGAGAAAGGAAAAAGGAAAGAGGAAAAAAAAAAATCATTGTCCAGTGTTTTTGAAAAAGATGGACTTTAAAGAATCTTGCAATTTGCACATCTTGAGTTTATCATTTGTGTGGTATTCCTGCAGTTTTTACCTAATAATGTTGTGGGTTGGGGGGGGGTCTGAAAGAGCATAAACAAATGTAGCAATTACTCACTAACCTGCCTACGCTCTAGGCCATTTCATAGAGTTACGTTCCTTTCAAAGTTCATTTTTTGGTCTTTCTACCATATCTGCCACACAGAACCAGGTCCTACCGGGACAGCTCTGAGAATTTTTCTTCAGACTTGCTGAGAGAGTTTTCCACAAGAAACATTTCTGTACGTAAGCAAGGTGTTTGTTTGTTTTTGAAAACAAACCTATTGTTATTTTATTATTATTATTATTTGTTATTTTAATTGCATCGTTTTCCATTGGAAAGGCGAGATTTCAAGAGTTTGGTACAAACCAAGGCGGATGGGGAAGGG